ATCGTTTCGAAAAAGCGTATACCATCCTGAGGGAAATTTTCCCAGGAAATATATGAGTTAATTTTGGAAGGGGAAACAACATTTTTCCTGACACATTAACGATCTTATCTATTTTCTCTTTCTTATCTTCTTTTTTCTTTTTTTGGTTTTGACTTTGTACTTTTTTTTTACAATCGTTCGCATTAAACCTTACGATTACTTGTTTAAAAGAGATAGAGAGAGAATAAGGAAAAAAAGAAGAAAAGAAAAAAGAAAAAAAGTGGAAAAAGGAAAAAAAAAAGAAAAAAAAAAAAATAAAAAAAGAAGAAAAGCACAAACAGCCGATCATTTTCAAAAACAAGCGAATTGGTTTCGATCAATTATGAAATTATTAAAGAAAGTTATAAAATGGTTTTGTCATGTGACGTGATAGAACACTATAGAGACACGTTAATAGAATTCTTTGGATTCTAAAAGGAAGGAAAGTCGCGAGCGCGACTTAAAGGCCTCCCACGCGAAGCGGCGACGGAGCTTTTCGCACATACATACATATATACACACACATACAAACACACACATACGCGCGCGCGCGCTCGCGCTCGTGAACACATACACGAAGAGAGTAGTCGCGTTTGCGACGCGTCGCCTGCACTTCCAACCTCCACCAACGCTTGGCGGTTGCGTCATCACGGTTTCACGGTGCGCGCTGGGATTCGTTGATCGCGCGCGCGCAACAGCCGACGCATCTGTACCGCTCTGCTTACGCTTACTACAAATCCGCGCCAGTGGTGCTCAATCTTTTCGTTTGTATTTCTTTCCTCCTCCTCCTCCTCCTCCTCCTCCTGCTGCTGTCTTTCTTTCCGTTTTTTCTTCTTTCTTTTTTTTCTTTTTTTTTCTCTTCTCTTCTTTTTTTTTTTTTTTTTTTTTCTTCAAATAGCTTTATACAAGTATCGTAATGATCGTATAAAAATTCTCTTAAATCAATCGTTCGTTTAGATTATACGATAATTCAGAATTAATTAAACGACGATTATATATTATATATGATAAGGGGGGGAGGTGGTGCAAGGGAAGGGAAGGGAGGGGAGGCAAGAGAATGATCATAGTCGATTCTATTTAATATTTCAAATTTGATCTTTTCTTTCCATATTACGAATTCTTAATAAATAACGTTACGATAAGAGATAATAAATGTTAACGTTATGATGCCGGCGATCGTTGTAAACAGCTTAGACGTGTTGTATCCAACACGTTTCCTTCACGACGCTTTGCCGATGCTTACTGCTCGCGCGAGGAACCTCGACCTTAACCTTAGAGCGCGTAACGTGTGTATTTTCCGCTCGGTAGCGTTCCTCGCGTGTTTACTACTTGCGATTATTTGATTCGCACGATGTTTCTAGGAGGATACGAATTCGAAAAGATTTCACGGACAAACAACATGCATACGCATACATACATATATGTATATATATACTTATTTACATTTACATACGTCTCTACGTATGCCTTCGTCTTTAGGAAAAATTTTTTTAAACGTTTGACAATGAACATTTTTTTCTTTTTTATTTTGAAATAAAAATTTTTGAACATTATCGCGATACTACGTCTTAGTAGTCCTTGGAGGAAAAAAGAAACGACAACGGAACGCGAAAGAGTCGAAGATAATGATGACGAAGAAGTTATGATTAACAATGAATTATTATGTTTAATAAGAAATTAAAAGCGCCGAACGATCGAGTGAAGTTTCCCTTGTAAGCTTTGAGACAATGCCACTCGACTTGTAACTAGAAACTTTCCACGTCTATTAAATATGCAATGAATTATCGATCGATAAATTTGAATCAGTTTAAATTGTTTCTCGTTCGTAGAAACGAGAAAAGTTCCGAGCAGATTAAACGTTTTTTATTTTTCTTTTTTTTTTTTTCTTTTTCTCTTTTTCATGATTTTTTTTTTTTTTAGATTTAACGTTTGGAATGAAAATTACGTACTTTTGATTCTACAGGAATCGATCATAGCAATATCCAATCTCTTTAGATATTTTTCCAAAAGTCTTTGAAAAGACCCAAAAAGAAAAAAGAAAAAAAAATATATATATATATATATTTATATATAATTTTTAATAATATAAAATAATATATTAATTTTTCTTATTAAAAGTAAATTACAAAATGTTAGATAAACTGTAACCCATATTTCTGAAAGAAGGCTGGATTAAAAGTGCTGACCCAGCAACACTTCTCGGACTGGAACTTGGAGGACGTGCAATTTCCTGAGGAGGAACGTAAAGGGATAACGAAGTGCGCTTTCCCTCTACGCGGAATTATTGGATCGCCACGCGAACCTCGCATACGAATGCGACGTTAATATCTGTAAGCTATCTTTCTCTCTCTCTCTCTCTCTCTCTTTCTCTCATTTACGAGAGGGATGGTTCGAGCTTTTAATTAAGTCTAACGCGGCCGCCGTAAAGGCGAAGTACGCGCGTTACGAGCGACGCCACCTATGCCACTGACCATTGTCTCGCTTACGTTAGTCATACAAATACAGAATAAATGTGTGCGCGCGTGCACACACGTACGAAGGGGAGGTCATGACGACGACGACGACGACGACGACGACGACGACGACGACGACGATGGCGACGACGACGACGACGACGACGACGACGACGATGGCGACGACGACGAGGGTACCTGTGGCGGCTGCTATGGGCGTCGAGGACGTTGCACTGAACCGCTTCGCCCCGTGAGAACGACGGGAGCACAGAAAGAACGGTGGAACGAGCGAATACGTGTACGTATATGTATATGTATGCGAGAGAAAGAGGAAAGGGAGAGAAAGAGAGAGAAAGAGAGGGAGAGAGGGAGAGAACGAGAGAGACAGAGCTGCAACCGCCAATACCGCCATCCTTTTGCCGCCACCGCCACCATCCTCCTCCTTTTCAGAATAAGCGTCATGAACATCCCGAGTAACGTAATAACCCTCTTCTTCCCTCTCTCTCTCTCTCTTTCTCTCTCTGTGTCTCTCCACTCATCCGCTTTACCCATGTATACATGAGAACTTCTTTCGATTTTTCGCGGACTCGTAAGTGAGGAGATTTCGCTCTCATCGATTTATTCTTCTCGACGAACGTGAATTATTATTATTATTATTATTATTATTATTATTATTATTATTATTTTATTTTGTTTGTATATATATATATATATATTTATATACGATTTAAGCCGTCCTAGGATTACGAATTGTGTGCTCATTTTTTATTCATTGGGTATATATATATCCTTTAAGAATCATCGATCCTTTCTTGTCGCGTACTTTCAAACCGGACTATTTTTGAAATGCCCACGGAGAGAGAAAGCCAGTCGCTTTTACATACATATATTATATGATATATATTTGTATGTTCTCCATCTCCCGTCTCTCTCTCTCTCTCTCTCTCTCTCTCTCTCTATCCTCTATCTCTTTCTTTCCCTCTCTCTTTCCCTTTCTTGTCGACTTCATTTCTCTCGAGACTCGCTCGCGACACTCGGCGAAAGAAGAAGGCAACCGCGATATTATCCGGCACAATGAGCGTACGAAAGAAAGGATTTTGAACGAGCATGAGCGATAGAGAGAAAGAGAAGGACTATTAGTGGAAAGAGAAAGGTACTCCAGGGCGATGCCATCTCTCGCTGATTTGCGAGTGAGATCGTTCTCTCTCTTTTCTCTCTTTTACTCGGATCCGCTTTTTTTTCTTCTTTTCTTCTTCTTTCTTTTACTTTGTCATCCATCCCATCAATGCCATCCATTTTTGCACGAGCACCTCGTTGGAATGCGTGTCTTCCTTGGCGTCGTCACTCCTGACGATCGATACTCTTTCACCCTACCTCCCTCCCACCCTTCACCCGTTACCATCGCCCCCGTTCTAAATTGATTCATCATCAATTGAAAATCCACGACTGCGGTTTACGTAGCTACAATTTTCCTACGCCAATCGACTACGATTCGATTTCGCATTTAAATGCGAATTAAAAAATGCACATCGTGTCACCTGTTGCGCGATACTGTAAATGAAACTGCACGAAATTTCGACAATTCGATCTGCCTATATTCTCGATTATGATGTAAAATTTGGGAAAGTATATATAGTTATACCGGAGATAGGTAAGAGATGAAGATCGTGTAGACGAAAGATGGAAGTTTGTAAAGAAGAAAAGGAGTAAAAAAAAAAAAAGAAGAAAGAAAAAAGAAAAGAAAACTTAACGAGTTCAAGCTCATACGAGATAGTTAAGAACGATCCCGTGGCGATAATAAAAAGTTAAAAATTTTTCGGGTCCGCTCGCGCATGAAACGCGATTAAAAAATTTTTATCAACCGAAGTTACCCCTTCGTGAAAATATCCCATCCAGCCGGATTTTTCTCATTATCATTATTTCGCTCTAATAAATTCAAAACTTAATATTAAAACCGAATAAATCTTTTCAAGACGAATGTTAAGATGTAAGATTAATCTCTTGGCTTTATGCAATCTCATTTCTTATTCACAGTTTTATTTTAAAATTAAAAGGGAAACTTTGTTTTTCTCTCTCTTTTTCTTCTTTTTTTTTTTTTTTTTTTCAGATAATCGAAAGACAATTAAAAGAACGACGTTAATTCGTTATAAACAATATAGGATCCCTATCGAAAGTTATATCTGTATTTATAAAAACGATTAAAGGGAGGAACGTCTTTACTTCAGAAAATTCACGAGACTATGCTTTTATCAAGCAAGGTGGAAAATGCGATTGCTGGAAAGGAGACGCGACGCTCTCGACGACGTGCCGCTATTTTGCGTACGCTCGTCACCCAGAGTGGGAAAGAAGGAAGGATGGAAAGCGGAGGGTGGAAACGCCAAGAGCTTCTACAATGAAAGGAGTAACGTATATCTCTCTCTCTCTCTCTCTCTCTCTCTCTCACCCTCCCTCTTTCTCCCTCTTTCTCTTTCTTTTCCCCTTCCTCTTTACATCTATCTCTTTCTCACGTTCTCGGTCTCTTGGAATACTCGAAAGTGCAACGACGCCTGCGCTACGCTAAAGTCTCAATCCACCCTCTGTTGTATCCAGCGTGAACGCCGTGACTGTGGAACTTTCGGGCTACAACTGCCGAGCGTCGCGACGTCGAAACGCAAATCTCTCTCTCTCTCTCTCTCTCTCTCTCTCTTCCCCTATCCCTTCTTCTTCTCTTCGTCCTCTTTATATATATATATATATATATATATATATATATATATAATATATATACATATCTCTTTCTTTCTCTTACCTTCTTTAGTTTGATACTCTTAGAAATGCTAACGCAAAACTTTTCGATGTTTCTTCAGAGTTCGAATAAAATAATATTATTTTAACCTAAATTATTTTTTAATGCTATGGTTAAATTTAAATTGTATAATACCAATAAGCCAATGCGTAAAATCGATAAACTTTAAAGGATAAACTTTCTAAGAGAAAAAGAAATGATGATTCAGAATGGTTAAATCACTTTTTTACATTTTAGTTTTTTTTTTCTTCTTCTTTTTATTTTATTTTATTTTTTTTTTCCTTTCACGTTTAAACCAAAGTGATAAAACAAAGTAAATACCGTTAAGCGATACGTAATAGTATTTAGTCACGTTTAGAAATAGCCCCCCTCCCCTACTCCCGCTCCCCTTTGAAGATAAAACATCAAACTATTCCCGCGATTCTTCTCGTTACGATTTACGTTTCGCTAGCGTATATCGCTAACGTATTGCAAAGAGTGTCTCTTCGACTTATCTCACGAGTGCGCACGGTAATCATGGGGAGTTCAGAGAAACCTGTCGTCAGCAAATTCCACTTGCAAGCAAACTATGTTTTCTCTTTGTTGCGACAAAGGAAAGACTGGAGAAAAGAAGAAAGTCGAATGAAACGGAGAAAAAAATCATTATACCTTATGATTGGTCAAACATTCTTTTTTACGATATTTTTAGAAAAATTTTTCCTTCCAATAACGATAGCAAAATAGGATTTAATTGTATTATCGAAATTTAAAAAAAAAAAAAAATAGACGAAGAAGAGAGAGAGAGAGAGGAGAGAGAGAGAGAGGAGAGAGAGAGAGAGAGAGAGATAACTTAACACTTACCATTTACTCGGCAAAAATTAACTTTTAAAAATTTTATTCCGATGTTTTTATGAAGGTTCCTGCTGTTAAACCAACGAGCTCCTTTCACCGTCCTTTTTAAGAAGGAAACACGCGTGGAAGGATAAAGAAAAAGATCTCGCTGCGAGGGACAAAACGAGAAGGACGCGTGGCTCGTCGAGGCGTAGGCGAGCGCACGAGTTACCCTTTTCAACCTTCGACCCAAAGTATCAACTCATCTCTTTCTCTCTCCGTCTCTCTCTCTCTCTCTCTCTCTCTCTCTCTCTCTCGAGGAGTTCACGTTACAAGATATACGCCATATGACAAAAATTTTCCCTTTCCCACAGGAATTGCGAGATGTAACGAGCCTCTTTATGGTCGAGAGATTGGAGCATGAAAAAAATTCATCTGCGAGTAATCCCGATGCGTCTGAACTCGATTTCAAGAGAAAAATGATAAAAAAAAGAAGAAAAAGAAAAAAGAAAGAAAAAAAAAAGAAAAAAAGAAAAGAAACGAAAATAAGTCGATTATGGAAGAAAAATATTTTTTCGAGTATATCTCAAAAAATTTCGATCTATATTTTCGTCGTATCTATTATTTTAATTTACGTTCTATAGTTTGTTAATGAGAATCTCTGCTTTTTAGGAATGACAACGTACGCTTCTCTTCATTGTCAGTCTCCCTTATATGTGAACACTTGGTATATATTTCGACGCGACGACGACGACCACGACGACGATGACCGTGCGCTACTTGGTATCGCGCTCACACGTAACTGAATTACCGTCGTTGGTTAAACAAATCTCTTCTCGGTAAGAGAACTTCCACGAAAACAGTGCTCGACATTTATTATCGGTGGTACGTAACCGGCGAATCATGAAAATATTTTTATCGTCAAATATTATAGAACGTTATTAATCTATTTTAACGAAATACATCAACTTTTTTTGTCCATTTGACTGTTTCTCTGTCTGTTTGCTTTGTTAGTTCCTTTTGTTAATTTTCAACAAATTTTTTCACCCTATCATAAAATCAATACTCTGCATATATTTCAATGGTAACGAAACATATTGTTCTAAATATTTGAATACATTCGATATGTATCAATCGAGTAGCATGGTTTAATAGTAACGAATATAAAACAAAATAATTGATTTCTTTTTTTTATACTTTGTACTTTACAAGACTTCGACCAGCTCCATAGAAACGACTTGATAATGGACATCAAATGTACGCAGCATCCTTGAAGAATAATAGATCATCGGAGTGGGACTTACCTGAAATAGAGAAAAAAAAGAAAAAATCTTATTAGTCATCGAGTTCTAAATCAAACGGGCGGAGAGAGAGAGAGAGAGAGAGAGAGAGACACGTTCGCATAGTCTATTCATCAAATCTCTTTGTAATACGCTTTCTATTTTACAAGTTAATCCTTTACCTCCTCCCTCTTCACTCCGTCCCGCTAATACATAATACATAATACACATTTAATAATTTTCTACTGAACTCGAATAACTTTGATTATGTACAATACGAAGCTTATTTCGAAAAGCCATTATCGTTAGAACATTTCGAAACGAGATATATTAATGAAAATTTTCTCCCTTCTTGCACCCTGTTGAACGTTGTCTTTCTTTGATTATTGTCACGGTACAGATTAAAGTATAATTGTTTGTCACAATTATTATTTCATTTTTAATACATACATACATACACACACACACACACACACACAGAGAGAGATTCTCATTTTATAAATACCCAATTTTACTAGGAGAAAAAAAAAAAAAAAAAAAAAAAAAAAAAATACTGAATAAGAAGAAATTTTTCATATTTCTCGTAAATTCCAGAGTAGTCCATTCAAAAAATTATAATACGATAGAAATGCAATAGGACAATATTTTGATGAATATGAATTATAATTGGATTTGTCAAAAAGAAAAAAGAAAAAAGAAAAATAATAAAAGAAACGTCATAATAGTACGAACATACACGCTCACCTCCAAACAATTAACCAATGAGTTCCTAGTAATGTCACGGTAATAAAGCACGGGAATGATTTCGCCCGTTATTGTTACTAGCCAGCGAGGACGTTGGGTTCTCGACTCTCTGACATCCGATTCGTTCGCGTGTCCCACTTTTCCCACGCGCGATCGTTGCAATGCTTTCTGCTACTTTGTAGCTTTCACGAGAGCAACGCCTCGACGCTTTAGAGACCGTTACTCTTTGAACATAAATCTTAGTATCTTTTCAAATCATTCGTCCGTACACTTGAGTTGTGACTACATCTCAACGTGTTTTACCGAAATTATTACATGGATATAAAATAAATTTTTAAATTCATCGAGCAAAGATATAATTCTTATTTTTTCTTCTTTCTTTCTGTTTTTTTTTTCTTTTTTTTTTTTGAATTCTTTAATAAGAAATTATCTCTTATTTTTCTTTTTAATTTCTTCCCTCCTCTCTCTCTCTCTCTCTCTCTCTTTCTCTCTGTTTATATCTATAATAACATTTTGCTGTTTATTTTATCCTTATTTAGCTTTACGATCAATCACCACTGAAGTATCCAGAGTAATCATACAAATTGTTCGTATAAATAACTCGACACTCTTATACTACTATGTATAGTATAAACTCGAGAATATCGATTTCGTTCTTTCCATAGACTGCTCCGTAATATCGACTGAAATTTCAATCTGTCTCAAGTGGAAACGTAAACGGGGTAGAAGGGAGGGGCCGAGGGGAAAAGAGATAGTTAAATTGGAGGCCTTAAAGCACGTTCGAACGTTAGATAGGAGAAATTATCGAGTTGTGAATCATTGCTTCGAGAACGTCCGTGAGTAGGGCCAGATAGACGCGTCGCGGGAGAGAAAGGAAAGGGCAGAAGAGGATAAGAAGGAGGGTTGGGAGACGCGCAACAGTGTTTACACTTGGCGGTCAATGAACGCCATCCATGATCTCGGAAACCAGACCACGAACGTCTGTCTTTATCTTTTCCTCTCTTTCTCTAACGTCCTAGATTATTTTATATTATCTTTATTTTCTTCTTTCATAACTTTTCCCAAAAACAATATAATCTTTTTCTTCGATTCTATTTTCTTTTTTCCTCTTCTTCTTCTTCTTCTTCCTTTTTCTTTTCTTTTACCAGCTTGTTAATAATATAAAAAATGAAATTCGATTTGAAATATAAATTAAAAAATTTGGTCATGGCCATTAAATCGATTTCAAAGATTTTCTCTTTACGATTGTAATTAAAAGGGTATAGGAGGAAATGGGTGGTTTGGGCGATTATTCACTTCGGAAATATTTTTTTTTCTTTCTTTTTTTTTTCTTTTTTTTCTTTTTTTCTTTTTTTCGAAGTTAAAAACGACGACGATAGTAGCTAAACGTAGAGCAAAGGAAGAGTGATAGGGAAAATAGGAAGAGAAATAGATAGATAGATAGATAAAAAGATAGATAGATAGATAAAGATAAAGAGAAAGAGAGAGAGAGAGAGAGAGAGAGAGAGATGGTTTCTCTTTGGCAGCCCCTGAGGCTGGTTCGATTTATCGGCGAATGGATGAATCCGGGTGCAGGGCCGCGTAAACGGCCAGGAGGGCGATGCTTGCATAAAGTGGTGGAAAATTCGGGTTGAAACCTGTGAAAGCGAGGAAAGAAGATCAATAAAGTGGTGTGCCATACTGTCGGTGCCACTGGTGTGTCGTTGTATAGTGGCTGCTTCGTTGGTGTGTATTATTAAGCGGAGGTGTAGAGATAGCTAGAGCGAACGAGACGAGACGAGACGAAAGAGAGAGAGAGAGAAAGAGAGAGAGAGAGAGAGTGAGAAAGAGAAGGGGAGAGAGAAAGAGAGAGAGAGAGAGAGAGAGAGAGGCTCAACGAAGACAGAAGAGAGGGCGGATAGAAAATGTAGGACAGACGTAATAAAAACTAACCAGAGAAAGAGAGACGGCGCTAACGGCCGTGGTTCTCGAGAAACAACGACGAACTCAACCATACACCCTCCAACTATCAAAGACACGAAGTGGCCTGGGAACAGACTTGGCGTCAGGCATTTAACTGAAACCAAGACCTTAACGGTAATGCCGACACTCTTCTTTTTTTTTTTTCTTTTCTTTTTTTTTACGATTACACACTTATTCGACGTCCAATGAATTTATTTTAACCCTCTCTCATCCTTGTTCTTATATGGTTTCTGCTAAAAAAGAAAGAAAAAAAGAGAAAAGAAAAAAAAAGAAAGATATAAGAAACCCCTCGTAGGAAATGATATCTCATTAATTGGTGCAATTCGATCCTTGTAAAAATTTTTCCCATCTCTCCAGAATATATATATATATATATATATATATATATATATACACACGTCAATTCTTTTATTTTGATTAAAATTAATCGAGATTAATCTTTGTAATCGTATAGTTGATTACAAAGTCAAGAAGAGATCTACAAAAGGACGAGGATTGAGAACCCCTGAATACCGAGGTGCCGCGTTTCCCCCTTTATGCAGCCATTGGCGTAGACACGTTTACTCTCGGACGATAGGAATCGTTGTATCGTTATGACTTTATAAAGAAAATCATTTTAATAATTTCTAACATAATTATATTATTTTCATTCGATAGAAATCATTCGGTTCGGACTTCGTGAAATTTTCATTTTCTCTTTACATTTTTTATTTTCATTATTCTCCTTTAGTTGCTCGTTTTTTTTTTCTTTTTCTTTTTCTTTATCGAGATCTAGAAATATCATTTCGTACTGTCGTAGACACACGATGGTTCTTCTTTCATTTCTTCCTTCCACCCTTCCATCCTCTTTACGTTCCTCTCTCCCTCCCTCTCAATCCTCTACGTTCTCTCCTATTTCCAAATCATTCGAGCTTTTAAGCTTCCTCGGATTCCTCGTACGACCCTTTACGCTTCGTACGACCAACTGGAACCGAACGCGACCTCCTACTTTCCACGCGTCAAACATTCCTCTCTCTCTCTCTCTCTCTCTCTCTCTCTCTCTCTCTCTCTCTCTCTCTCTCTCTCTCTCTCTTTCTCAAACTCACCCCACCACTACCTCTCATCATTGAGATTCCCGTAGTAATCTTTTTCCTTCTGAGAATCTCCGATCCGACGTTTGTATTCTCGCGCCTTCGACGACCTTCCCTCCTGACCTCGAACGTTTCTTTGTCCTTTTTATATATAGAACAAAAATGTGTCCTATATATTTATATATACATATATATATATATATATTTTTTTTTTTACTAAATTTTTATTCTTTTATTTTTTACTACAAAAACTTTATTGACGTTCACGTATTTGCTTACGAGTATATTCCTACGAAATTAACATGTATGTGTGTTTGGAAAAGAATGTATTTATCGATATTAGTACATACGTAGTTAATGAACGAATATTTATCGTGTGTGACAAACATAAATATATATATATATATATATATATATATATATATATATATAACATACATGTCAACAAAATATCGAAAGAAGAGAAATGTTTGTTCGCTCGTTAAATTAGAAGCGTACTATATTACATTAAAAAATTTATGTTGGTATCGTTCGATTAGAATACAAAATAAAATTGGAATTTGATAAATTATCTTATCTTATGAGATAATATCATCGTGCATTTTAATATTATCGAAGGGAATAATAAACGTCCTCGTATTATTCTATCGTCGAACGAGTCGCCTTTTGTTACCCTTGACAGCCACGGAGCGACTGTAAAGTCCCCCGCCATCTTTCTCCCCCTTTCTCCAACATTTTCCTCGTCGAACACGTCTCTCCCTCTATTCCCCCATCTCTCTCACACTGTCGCGCGCGCAGCACCCTCTTAAGAGGCCAGAAGGAAGAAAGCGAATACGTTTCGGAGCAGCTTTCCGCTCCTTCTTCCCCTTTCGAGTAAGAGAGACGGCTCGTTTCCGGTGTTTCAGCTCGACCTTCTTCGTAGGAAATCCATACCCTTCCCATCTCCTCTTTACCCATATCCCATGCATTTCCCAAAGGGATACGTTTTACTAGTTCACCTTAATAGCCGTTTCTGATTCATTGCCCTTTAGCCACGCTTTAATCGTACTTTGTACAAATTCGGACCCATCTAACGCGGCCTCCACTCCTATAAATTTATAATAATCTCATTCCATTTCACTTATTAACGTTTCCATTTCCATCGTTACGAATTTAATATATATTTATATATATATACATATATGTGTGTATGTGTGTGTTTGTGTGTAAGTATATATATATATATATATATATATATATATATATATATATGTATCTTGATAATAAGAGAAGAAGATATATAAACAATGCGATATGTAATATAATAAACAGTCGTAGTAAACTGAAATTGAACTAGTAAACCACATTATTATTTCTCTTGGTCGCAAGATTTCCGAGATATTTATCATGCCGATTTTTATCAGTAAAAAAGGTGAATCTGCAAAGAAAATAAATAACGAGGAGGAGGGAGGAGGGAAAAAAGAGGGATACGTTAAGCGACGAAGCGGGAAATGTGGAAAAGAGGATGCGCGCGCGAGAAAGAGAGAGAGAGAGAGAGAGAGAGAGAGAGAGAGCGAAAGAGAGAGAGAGAGAGAGAGAGAGAGAGAGAGATGAAAGGTAGAGACAGACAGAGAGACATAAAGAGAGGAGGTCGGCAGGTTTTAGCAGCGTCGCTCGATCGCAAAGCTTCGCGACTAC